GGAAACAATAGTACAAATAGAGGAACAACAAACTTCAATCCAACTTGTGAGAAGCATGGGCTTGCATCAACCATCATTGAATCTTACCAAAGAAAAAATCAAGCCGGGATCAAACAAAAGCACATGTCAGAACCTGCATATAGTGGCATTGAGAGAGACAGAGGGGAAGCAAGAAGGATTGGTAGAGAGAGAGAGAGAGGAAATAACGATATGGAGAATCTCATCTTGGCGTCATCCGCCACGCTCGACATTGCTTACGCACATGTCACTACCCAGCCATGCCCGTGGTCCTGACCGCTGCTCCCGCCACTTGTGCCGGTTGCTGCGCCATTTTCATCGTGGCCACACGTCCTTCGAGCTGCCGCCCGTCAACATCCGGGGTGACGGAAACATGGGCTTCCAAATGCTAAATGAGGATTGCTCCTTCAGATATAGTCAGCAGAAAAAGTTGAAAAAACATATACCGAATGAAGAATGCATGAGATTCTCCAAGTAAATATGCTATAACATTACACCTTATGACAATACACTTAAATAATCAACAGCAACATTACACCTTAGGGCGGCTGTAGGCTGGACGCAAGGCAGCTGGGCCGAGGCGAAGGCTAACGACCCATGGGATGAAGCGGACGTGGGACGCAGGCGCGGCCTTGCTCGATCCCGTGCGCGTGGAGGCGGCTGGAGATCGTTCGGGGCGGCGGTGCTAAGGGATCTTGGCTGGTGACGAAGACCATGACGGACCAGGACGCCGGTGGAGCAACGGGAAGCTGGGACGGCGGATACGATGCGGGCTCCACGGATCCGTCTGTTCCCTGCCGAATCCGGTGGCAACGATGGCGGTGCAGAGCATCAGGGCGCCGTGGCGGGGAAGACCTGCGCTCAATGCACCCGACCGCCGCTGCTAGGCTCACCGACATCGGCCTCGCTAGTGCCTCCAATGGCTTCCATGCCGCCGAGCTCGGGGCCATCGCGGCCGCGTCCCCCTGCCCCCGGTGGCCATGGCGTCCTGTAGTTTGGGAACAGAGAGAGATTAGTGGGGAGAGGGGGAGAAAATGAAGGAGGGCGTTGGGCGCGGTTGACCGGCTGATGAGGTCGGCGGCGGCTTGCAGGAGCGCGAGCGACGACTGGAGGCAGGGTCGACTCGGGTGGATCGGGGGGAAGTGCACAGAAGGAGGAGAAGCGAGGAGCGGCGGCGCCGTTTTTCTCGATCTGGGAAGAGAAAGAAGGATCGGGGAGGCACGATTCACTTGGAATCGGCCCGAAAATTAAGGAGCTGATCGAGGATGCGGTTGTTTCCGCTATGCGGGCGTGCAAACGCGAGAGTTTTCGTCCGTCCTGAAACATGTTTTCTTGTTTAATACTAGGACAATGCCCGTGCGTTGCTACGGGACCATATGAATAAAGGCATTGATCAATATTGTGTGCCCTATGTTTTTATTGCCAAACCTTGAGTCACTTGCAAGCTGCTACAAAATGAATTTTGTGTCAGCTGATGCACCTTGTATGTCTGCAATGAATTCACTACTCATCTGAATTTCTTTGTTTCTGGAAAGAGAACTATAAATTGGACATCATTGACACCAGCAGCGAAAGGGTGGCTCACCATTCTCCAGCAATGTCTCCATTATGTGAATATCCTGTAGCGATGTAGAGATATGGAGACTAAACACACTGCCTCAGGCCGCTTCAGATATGATTCCCATGATGAGAGCTCCCTATACTTGCCATTTGATCATAAAGCCTAAGTTTGAAATGATCAGCGCCATTGATGTTCGAGTCCTATAGCACCTTGCAATCCCTCAAATATTTTGTTGTATCTCGTATCCTAATTATGCTATGTGACTTATCCAAATAGCATGGCGTGATAAGCTTGTAGAGTGCACGCTTATTCTATCTCATTCCACTACATCTTCGACTTACCTGGCCACCGTGGTAGCTCCTCTCTCTCCTCTCTTTTGCTGCTCAATATTCTGATCAATCATACAAATACCTAAAAGCATAAAAAGAAGGGAAAATCATATCAGCAGTATTACTTCAAACAAAAACAAAACTATACATATATATCAATATTACCGTAGCCGGTGTAGAAAGAAAATTAGAACTGATCACTTGGGGTTAAGATGATCAAATGAATGTATGAGATGAGTATAGGAGCAACTTTTTACCTAGCGCTTTGTATTATGGCAGGTTAGCACTTTATAAGACAGTCGAAACTACAGAATGACACCCAGGTGACCCAGCCTTGCTCGCATTTGTGCACGCTTCTATTACCAATTGAATAAAAGCCAAATTGTCGACCGCCTTTACTGAAACATGCCACTACTTCTGCAAATACTTTCGCTGCATATATACTGATGGGACCATCTCAGGCACCTGTCGTCTAGAGCGTCATGATGGAGACAACGTCAGAGAGGAGGAATGTCAATAATACTCAAGCAACAAGTACTTGTATTATGTTGTACAGCTATCAGTATACAAAGTTATGTTTTCTCTGTTCTTAACACAATTACGCGAAGAAAAAGAACAGGCCTAACTTCTATGCATGTGGGTGTGCGGATAAACTAACCAAATCATAATATGTATTTTTACAAAAAAAATGCTTATTGCTGAATCTTATCATCGATCTAAGCACATCACAAATCCTTCCATCCAAGTGTGAATTTCATTTGTTCAATAAGAAGGAGAACACACCTTACTTGCATTCAATCAGTGTAAAAAAAACAAAACAAATATCACACGCACACCTTTGTAATATAACTGTGAACTGGCTGTGGCTGGGACATCTAAATAGATAAGAGCAATTGAAAAGGAGAAGAGCACACCTTACTTGCATTCAATTAGTGTAAAACACATCACAAATATCACACGCGCACCTTTATAATGCAAGTATGAAGTGGTTGGGACATCTAAATATATAAAGGACCCTCAATACCAGACAATCTTATAGTTAATTGCATAAACAAATTGGTATAGCTAGACTGAACAAATTGAACACAAATTTGCAGTGGTAAAAGGCACAAAAACATGTGAAAGAAGATTAGCCTTTTCATCAACTGCATATGTTTCCACATGCTTGCGCCGCAACCTCTGAAACTGGTTAAGGCCGTATGAAAAAAGTTAGATGAACTACTCTAGTCATAACATTGACCGGACAAAAGGTTCTGAAAATTTATTATGTGTGCAGTGTGAGAATAATCTATTTGACCTGCCTCATCGTCTACCAAATGTTAGGATGATAGAAGATTCAATTTATTAAACCATTGCAGCCCGTGCATCAAACCTCTGAAAATGCATAAAGCAGTCATACCTGCGCGTCGGTGAACTCGTCAATCCGCTTCATGATTCACACATACAAATTACTTTCTCTTCCATCGCGAAGCATGTTCTGTAATAAATGGCTACTACCTGCACTACGTGAATCGACAAACCATGATGCACACAAATCTCATAACCGGCAGTTGACAAAAGCAATCACCAAATAACCTTATGCTCGCCAAACACATTTGGAGCATGAAATTTCTGACCTCGTGGACGCGCCATGGAGAAGAGTAAGTTCATAAAATACTCCTACCTAAATATAAAATCAGAAATTTGATCAACAAAACGGGCATGGAAAAAAATATCTAAACAACTGTCAAATGGTATGAGCTACAATGGATAGAGAGGTCTCGGCAGTGCACGGATCCGCCCAGTAAAGAACATATCCAAAGAGTTCATAAATAGAAAAGACACAATTTGATATTCAGTACCAAAACAAAATATGTCACTGTATCATAAACTCCATACCTCCAAATCCTGTGCTCTGCACCTCTTATACTTCTAAACAAATGAACAAATCAACATGTATAGAAATATCATACTGATGTACAATCTCAATAACCTAAACCTGAAAAAAAAATTAAGTCATACATGGACCAAATCAACTTTGTGATTGGTTTTAAGGTTGCAATTGAACACTTGCAGACATGGACGACCCAAATCAACCTTGGCTAATCAATCAACAATTGATTTGAACATACGGAGAAGAATCAACCTTCTTGTGATGCTTCATGAAGAAACAATATCATTTCCCAATCAATGAACAAACATGTGAAACCACTTTAGATCAGAACATATGAGCTAGCCTATCGGCAACAATTAATTAAATGGTCTACTACTTCAGATGCTGAAGAATGAAATCACGCTAAGAACAAATAAGGGGGAGGTAGAAGCCCACGTCGTCATTGGAGAGGCGGTCCGTTGTGAGTTTGGGCTGTGTTGCCCTCTCCTTCCTCTTCCTCTTCCCATGCGGCCGACCAAACCGGGACAACATGAAGAACGACACCCACGGCGGGGACAGGACCCAGCAGGCGGAACCAGTAGTTCTCGTGGAAGTGACGGAGACATGTGAAGGCGGCGCCGAAGGTGCTCGGATCTGGCCGATGTGAGGGTCCATTGCGGCTGCGCAGTTGAGTCCCTGGTCCACGTCCGGGAGGGCCGCAGATGAGGTCGTCGGGGCAACGGGCTGCAACGATCGGTGGAGGAGCACGAGTGGGCGAGCGCGATTGCGAGGTGGTGCCGAGGATGGCGAGCGGCGGCCGAGGACCAGAGGGGCGGGTGGGGTTGGAACCCTACATAGTGTGTTTGTTGTGTGACGTGAGAGATGTGGGCTTTGTGGGGCTTGGCCCATGTGCGGCTGCGCGGGACGAGCAACGAGGGACGACGATACCGAGCGACGTAAGATGAGAAACGGAATCTTGCGTTTCTTTTAGATAGTAGAGATAGTAGTGTAGAAACGAAAGTGGGTCGTGTGCGCCCATGTGTACAGGGCAGGGGGCTAGCTGCCTAGCTGAGCGATGCACACTTCTTCTTCTATATAAAGCCCCGAGGCCCCGACCCAGCAAGATAAACCAAAAGTGGACAACCTAGAGCGCTGCGCAATTAGCCTCACACGAGCAAGTCCCTCCGGGTGGTAGTGCCGTCCCACACGCGCACACTCCGGAAGGACAAGAACAGAAAGAATGTTGAGCCCCGGCATTTCGGTCAAGAAGCGCCACGGCGGTGCCGGGTTCGCGCTCGGGTGTGGCTGCAAGGACGCCAAGAGCGTGTCGGTGGTCCCCGCGTCGGTGTCTGCGTCGCCCTCGCCGTCCGGCGCGGGTACATCGACCACAACCGAGACGCGGCGCAGGGGCGGGAGGGCCAACCCGTCGGCGTCGATGACGACGGACACTCTGACCTCTGCCTCGTCGTCGTCCTTGCTATGGGAGGACGCCGTGGCGGAGTTCGAATGCGGCGACGACGGCCACTTCAAGATGGAGGGATCGGCAGCCACGCAGAGCTTCTCCGGCTTGCTGCGCGAGCTCAACGAGCTGGAGCAGAGCGTCGTGTCGTGGGGCCGGAAGAGCCACCGCAACCGCGACAAGAAAGCCTCGACACCGCCACCGGAGCACAAGAAGGCGACCATGAAAAGTGGCGTCAAGGGCGGCGACGTCACGACGGGCGGCGCTAAGGATCGCCGCGTCGGTGACAGCGTCGAACCGGGGACTGTTGACGCCTGCGTGGAAGTTGGGCTCGACGGCAGCGTGGCAGTGGTGAAGCAGTCCGAGGACCCGCTGAGCGACTTCCGGCAGTCGATGGTGCAGATGATCGTGGAGAACGGGATCATCGCCGGGGAGGAGTTGCGCCAGATGCTCCGCCGCTTCCTCACCCTCAACGCGCCGCACCACCACGACGTCATCCTCCGCGCCTTCGCGGAGATCTGGGACGCCGTGTACGCGGCCTCCTACGTGCCCGTCCCCGCCACCGCCCCGCCCAGCAAGCACACCCGCCGCGAGGAGCCCGCCGACGGAAGGCCGCCCATGCCGAGGACCCCTCCGCGCCACCACCACTCGCCATCGCCATCAGCATGGCGCGTGTAGACGTACCGAAACGTGCTACCTCGATTCAATATACCACTACCACTGTATCATTTCATTTAATTTCCGGTTAATTAGTATTGGAATGGCCACTGGCTTATTATTGTACGTGAGTGAATCCGTATAAGAAAGCTCTTTGTGTGATTTCGTACTATTTGTCTCCGTTGTTCTCACGTGCAATGCAGCTCCATTTGCTACAAAGCCAGCGCGGATTCCCGCCTACGACAAGCCCGAGCACGTAGGCGTGCCGGCGTCTACCAGACTACCGGAAGATAGATCGGGCGTGCGTTGCTTCGGTTAGGAGTTGGACCGATGGGGAGTGGAGACGAATGCCATGCATGCACGGGCGACAGCCAGTTGTGGTTGGATGGGAACGGGAGAGAGAGTAGGGTCCGTCTCGCTTGCATGCGCGCTCGCCCGTGCATTGCGGCCGGGGCAACCTGGACTGCATGGTCCATACGGCAACTTAAATTGTCCGGTGCCCTTTCTCCTAGCTAGCTAGCACTGGATTATTCCTTGTGAAATTCCTTGCCGTGCATGCATGGCTCCCTGCTCCTAACAATGCCAAAACTCGTACTATGTCAGCACCATTATTGCATGTACTCACTGGCCATTAGGTGATCGGTATAGGTCACTTATCTACTGTGGCTACCTAGCATCAATCATCGCCATCTCTGACCAAGTTTCTCGCGTACGTATACGTTGCTTCGTTCTTCGATCGCGCGCGCATCTGCCGACTGCAGGCATCATATCGGCAGACGATCGAGATAGGCGAAACTGGACGCACGTGGTCGACGCAATGATGCGCTGGTACACGTATACACGACGGGGCGAGACAAGCACGAAAAGCGTATGGAATCTTTGCGCGCATATTACATGCGTACCGTATGGAGGCGATCTAATGTCCGAATCCATTTCCTTTCCTTCCGAGGCAGACCCCGCGTCCACGGGCGCGATGGCGTTTGTGCCGTTCCGTGTGGACGCGGAACCGAACAGATCCGTCCGCGCCAGCTCGCATACGGGCCACGGGAAGGGACAACGGCCAGGCCAGCCCGGGGTCGCAGGTCGTCGTCCCCTCCGCTTGCCTCCACCCCCGCCCGCGGCATCCTCCGTACGTCATCACAGGTCACCGGTGCCGCTACCCGTTCCTGATCTCCGTGAGATGCCCCTGCGCGGAGGCTGGCGGGTGGGGGCCAGCGCGTGCGTCGGGATGCGGGGTCTTCCGCGCGAGTCATGAGTACGCGAGGACAGCGCGTCACCGTCTCGGTCTTCCAGTTCAGTTTAGTGCAGTAGAGAATTTGGAGTGTCTGCCTATGCTTAGCAGATAAGACGCACGGCGTGGACCGTCCATCATGGCCTGGATCGATCATGCAGCCCTGTAAATTACGGAGCAAGTTGAGCCTCAACTTGAGCGCCGGCGAGACGCAGACGCATCGGCGATCGAGAACGTGTGCTGTTCTTTGGTTTTTCTACGTCAGAGTGAAGTGAGCAACAGTATTACAGCACAAGCGAACAGTACTAGTGTTCAGCACTAGCGTCTCTACGCAAACAACAACGCTATGAGTCATGAGTAAATACAACGTGGCGTAATGGTGTCGTCACCGCTGTTAATCCTGCAAGTGTTGTGCCCTTGGGAGAAGGCTCGTAAGTACGTCATCATGGTACTGAGTACTACTACTGGTTCGTTACTCCAGTCCAGCAAAAGCAGCCATGGGAATCGCCGAATCGGATACTGACCGAGTATATACAGTAGTTAAACAAGATTAAAAATAGAGATAGCTGGACTTGTAAGAAAATTATCATATTATTAGCAATAGGTGTAGCTCTTGAGTAAATAGAATTTTTTGTACCCGAAGCATTTCTCGATTTCTCCGGATTTTTCGTCAGTCATGGTATTTGCTATTGGAGTTGGTTGAACTTACCCGCCATATACCATCCATAAGTAGGTAACTGCTTCCCCAAAAAACAAAAAGCAGCTAGTGCTTCCTTTTGCCATGACCAAAAGTTTTGTATGTGCGCCGCTAGCACACCAACATTTCGCCCGTCCCTTGATATGCGAACGACGTTCCCCACCCGACATGCAAACGATGGTGCACATCTAACCATCGATACCCAAAAGCAAATCGGAGCAGGCCACACGATCATTTATCAAGCACCTTTTTAGTGAGATCGGCCTATAAAATGCTCACAGGAATTAAGGCTCAGAGAGAAGACTGGTTAGAGAATAAAACAAGCCACTCGAACCAAGAATGAGAAAAGAAGGACCGGACTAGATTGTGGAAGGTCTTGGTGCCTTCAAAACTGCGGCCTTTCACTTGGAGATTAGCGCATGCATCACTGCCAACTGGAATGGCGAGGTATAAAAGGAACATGATAACTTCTCCGGTTTGCTCAATTTGCAATGCAGCGGGGGATAACTGGAGGCATTCTTTGTTTGAATGTAGCATGGCCAGGTGTGTTTGGGCACTTTGGTGACGAAGTGATTTTGGAGCACATAATATCAAACCACACTGAAGATGCTTGCCTATGGCTCTTCTGGCTGTTTGAAACTACGAGTCAACATGATCTAGCTCGGGTCTTGGTTACCCTCTGGGTAATATGGTGGGCAAGGAGATGTGAAATTCATGACAATGAGTTCCAAAGTCCACTGACCACCATGAGCCGGCGACGGGGGAACCCAGATCCGGCCGCCCTTCACCCTTCCCATCTCCCTCCCCACCTCGCCGCCACCGGAGGAACGGCCGGCGAAGCCGGCGCCGGCTCCCGGGATGGTGGCGACGGGGCGAGACTACTCCCTTTCGATGGTGAGAGTCTGGATCTGAGGCGGCGGCCTCGTTGGTGCGGTCGGTGCTCCCCCCGTGGCGGGGAGTGCTCGTCGGTGAGGTAGGCCGGTTCCCCTCGGCTGCGCGGGCAGCGAGGTCCCGGTGGACGCAGGTCATGGCGCGGGGAGGCCCCGGGTGTCGTGGATCTAAGTCTGACAGTAGAGTGGGGGTAGGTATGGAGAGGCAAGGTCCAAGCTATCGAGAGGTTGTAAACACAAGAGATGTACGAGTTCAGGCCCTTCTCGGAGGAAGTAAAAGCCCTACGTCTCGGAGCCCGGAGGCGGTCGAGTGGATTATGTGTGTATGGATTACAGGGTGCCGAACCCTTCTGCCTGTGGAGGGGGGTGGCTTATATAGAGTGCGCCAGGACCCCAGCCAACCCCCGTAATGAAGGGTTTAAGGTACATTAAGTCTGGGGCGTTACTGGTAACGCCCCACATAAAGTGTCTTTACTATCATAAAGTCTACTTAATTACAGACCGTTGCAGTGCAGAGTGCCTCTTGACCTTCTGGTAGTCGAGTGAGTCTTCGTGGTCGAGTCCTTCAAGTCAGTCGAGTGAGTCCCTCGTAGGTCGACTGGAAGGTGACCTCTTCTAAGGGTGTCCTTGGGCAGGGTACTTAGATCAGGTCTGTGACCCTACCCTAGGTACATGACTCCATCATTAGCCCCCGAATGGATTGAGGCTTGAGTGATGAAGGAGTTGATGTTGTTTCCGATTAGCCTTCGCATATTGGTCGTGCATTGTTTTGAACCAAAAAAATCTCTTTGTTGATAGTGAGCAACTTTTCTTCAGTCGACTCGATCCATTCTTTTCCTTCGTCGAGTGATCTTTTGGACTTCGCCGATTTCCGAGCGACGGATCGCAGGAAATCCCGCGTTTGGCAGACCGATCTGCCGTTCGCGGATTCCGCGGGATGCGAAATTTGGGGAAGCGCGCGAAGCGGGGCGGACCGCGGTGTTCGGACAGGACAGGGCATAGACGCCTCGATCCCCGCGCCGCTTTTTTCACCACGTATCGCGTCCGCGTAACTGTTCAGGATATGATTAGATCGACCAGGCCCACCTGTCACCCACTCGGAAGGGAACTTATAAATGCGCCCGGCGAGGGTTTTTTGAACAGTGCCTCAGCATTCTCCCTCTGTTCCCTTCGTCTCCGCCCAACGCGCTCGCTCTCGCCTCCGCACAACTTCTCCTCGCGCGTCTCGCCGGCAGCCATGGCCAAGGAGAAGACGGCGGCGCTAGAACGCGCGAAGAAGGCATCGGTGACGGAGAAGGCGAAGGGGAGATCCACCAGTCGTGGCGGGTCTTCGTCTAGATCTCGCCTGCCGAAAGGCTGGGTCCAGGGAGATTGGATCCAATCGACCATCACGGAGACGGATCTCCTCGACATGGCCAACGAGGGCCTGATCCCTCATGGAGCTGCAAGGCTTCTGGGGAAAGAGTGGTAGCCCCAGCCGGAAGAGGGTGAGTGCGTGCTTCTGGCTACCCATGTCGACCGCGGATTTTCTTTGCCGCCGAGCGTTTTCTTCCGTGGTTTCTTGAACTTCTTTGGAGCGCAACTCCACCACTTCACCCCGAATTCTATCGCCTATCTTGCCGCGTTTGTGTCCATGTGTGAGAGTTTCCTGGGTTGTTGACCGCATTGGGGTTTGTTCAAGCACATATTCACGTGTCGCTCTCAGACCGTGAAGAAGGCGAGCCCAGGCGACGAAAAAACCCGAGTTGTCCAAATGTGTGGGGGTCTGGGGATCCAGATGAGGAACAAGAGCACCTTCCCAGCCATCACATTTCCCGAGTCAGTCAGAGGCTGGCAGTCGACCTGGTTCTACTGCCAGGATCAGTCGACGCCGGGGCAGTCGAGTGGACTCCCTCAGTTCACCATGGGCCGAGTGAACAAGCCCTCCTCTCTGAAGGTGATTCTGGAGGAGAAAGCTGACGTGAAGATGCTGATGGAGCGTGTAGTTCAGTTGATTCGGGAGGGAGTGACGGGTATGGATCTCCTGGAGGTTTTTCTTAGGCGTCGTATCCAGCCTCTTCAGTTCCGGAGCCATTGCATGTGGTTGTACTGCGGGACTGAGGATGTGACTCGGGTCAATCCAGAAGCAGTCGACGATGCCACTCTGGAAAGGTGGATGGCCGCTGTTACTGGGAACAAGGATAACCCTCGCGGAGCCAGAAGG